AGCAGATGGTGTGTGTGGTGGTTAATGTGGCTGAACTTCCACATGGTCAACCATGGTTTGAGCCCTGGACCTGGTGGCTTGAAATTCATGCTGGGAACATTTGCATGTATGCCCAAAATCTTAGGAGGATGGCAAAAAGAAGGGATTGTGGTGTAGTTATCTTCCCTGGAGAGTAGTTACTCCATTACTCTCTGTGTGTCTCTCTCTAACCAGAGCACATGCCCTAGGACAATAAATAAATAAAACAGTAATTCTCTTCTCTCTACTTACATTAACCTACACATTTGTGGTTTTCCTCATAAAATTCTAACCGTTCTTCACACTCTGGATAGTCTTCCTCTCCATGCCTTCAAAATGTTGGAATTACCAGGGCTCCATTTGGGGCTCTCTTTTATTCTCCCTCTCATCTGTTCCTCTAAAAATTTTACCCACTTTCATGCTTTTAAATGCCACCTACATGCTGATGGCTTCTAAATTTATATTTCTAGCCTAGGTATCTCTTCTGAGTTCCAGAAAAGTATTATATTTAACTGCCGACTACACATCCTCTGCTGTATCAGAATACTCTTGACCAAAATTTAGCACATCATTTCTCCTATCCCTCAAACCTGGCCCTACTCCAGGGTTCTCTGATCTCAGTGTACGGCACAGGAACATATTCAACTCACAACCTAGTGACCAGAAAGTTACCATTGATTCTTTCCTCTATAATCTATAACCAATCTCTATCAATTTTACTTTCGAATATACCAAGTCCAATTCACTTATCTCCATCTCGCCTTCTCTTTGTCTACCACATTATCATCTTTAACTGATAATAGTGCCCAAACATCTATTAGTCTTCCATTCCCATTGAAAATTATTTTGGGGGAAGCCAGTAGGTGGCATGGAGTTTAAGGGGGCAGGATGTCACATAGCCGATTGTGTGGTTTGAGTCCTGGGCCCAGAGGCTTAGACACTCTGGGTGTATATGTTTGCATGCCCAAAATCCTGAGAGAAGAAGGAAGGAGAAGGGATTGTGGCATGACCATCCCTCTGGGGGTGATCTCTCTCTCTCTCTCCCTGGAGGGTGCATGTACCCTATAGCAAACTAAACAATAATAATAATAAAAAGTTGGAACTGGGGAGTGGGAGGTAGGCAGAGGTTCAACATTAAAACACAATGCAGTGTGAGGCAGTCCCAAACGGGAAGGTTGCCAGTTTTCTTCTGGAACCACCCCAGTTTATACCAGATTTGCCTTTGCCTGTGATCTAGGCTGGCTGAGTCTGGGAGTGGATCATAGCATCAAGTCCCTGCTGAGATTCTCTCTCTCCTCTCTTTCTCTCTCTCTTTCACTCTGCTTCAGTTGTGAAATAAGCAAATATGCTTTTAAAAAGTCATTCTCTATATAGTAACCAGAGTGATCTTAAGACATAAAATGTATTGTGTCACTCTACTAAAAACCACTCAAGAATTCTGATCTTGCCATAAAAAAAAAGTCCAGTAAAACCCTGCTTTATCTGATTTCTGCCCATCTTCCAAGCCCCAACTGTGATGCTGTCTCCCTCAGTCATTGCATTCTAACCACACTAACCTTTTTCTCTGTTCCCCAAAATGTTCCAAGCTCTTTACCCTTGCAAACCTTGTTGCTGGCTAGTCTCTGTTGAAATACTCACTCCACCTTATACCTATCTTTGCCTGACTTATTTCTATTTATCTTCCAGATCTCTCCAAATGACACATCTTCAGAGAAGTTTTCTCAGATATTCCCAACACAGACTAAATTAGATACCATTGTTGTATGCCTTTCTGGCAGCCTGTACTTTCCCTTTGTAACATTTATCACAGTATTAAATTATTAAGGCATTGTCAGGAAACAATGGTGCTTAAATGCAAGGGAATAATAGTTTGGTAAGGGACGAAGACATAACCATTAGCCATTCACTGTAAAAATAATCATTGAGTGTATCTGACATGCCAAGCACTCTTCTAGGCACTGAATACACACTGGTAAGCCACCAGGTAATGTGATGATTGTTTAAACCTTGATCCACAAAGAATTCCATGAAAATACTGGAGAACATCATTTGGCTCAATGTATTAGTTCAAAGAAAACAGTCAGACAAAGCTTCCTGGAGAGTATGATAATGAATTTGAGTATTAAAAGATGAAGGTGAAGGGTCTAGCAGGTGGTGTAGTGGCTAAGACACTGAACTCCCATGTGGCCAACCACGTTTTGAGTCCTGGACCTGGCAGCTTGAAACTCACACCAGGTGCATGTGTGAGTGTTCAGAATCCCAGGACAGTAGAGGAGAAGGGTCTGCTGCATGGCCATCCCCCAACCTCCACCATTGGGGATGATTTCACACTTTCTGTCTCTCTGGCAAACCCATGCACCCTGTAGCATAAATCTCTCTCAAAAAAAAAAAAAAAGATGAAGGTGCATTAGCCAAGTGAAATATAAAAATTAGGCAGAATTTTCCAGGCAAAGGGCATAAATAATAACAAACAAGTTGATATACTATAGCGTGAGATAGAACCTAGTGTGAGATGAGATTGGAGAAGGAGGCAGACCAGGGTCATAAAAGACCTCAAATCCCATAGGGTGGAGCTTTGATTTTATCCTGTAAAGATAGGTATCAAATGTCTACTGTATGCAAGGCAGTATGTTAGGTACTTGAGGATACAGCTAGAAATGTCTTTCTATCTCTATTCTTGAAGGGTTTGCAATATCCTGGAAAGATAAGGCATATACATCCAAAAATGCAGCGCAGTATATGCTACATGGCAGCTGAAGAGGAAAACATACTTCCTGGGGGAGAAATGACATGAGTAGGACAGGCATGGAGGCTCTAAGAGAAGGATGGACTTGAGTTACATCTTAAAGGATAAAATGGAGTGAATTTAGCTAAGCAAGGGACATTATGAACATTTCTGTTTGTTCCTATCTCCCACCGAAAGTTTTACTAGGTTTTTATATTTTTTACAATAAGTTGTTTCATATTAATGAGATAATTACTCTTAAAATTAAAGTAAATAAGGACATTAGGATTTTACATGCAGAGATTTTTCTTTATAGGTAGTTCTTTCAGGATCTGCATATCCTAAAAACAATGTAAAAATACAAATTCTGAGCAATTTGGACCACAAAGCCACCAAACTGTAATATCTTTGAGAAAATGTATCTACATTGTTCACTATTTAGTTCTTAGTACCTAGCATAATGTCTAGATATTACTAGGCGCTCAATAAAAATTTTATTGAATAAATGAATACATATATTGTGTTACTTTTCAAAGCATAATCTTTTTGCTTTCCCTTGCTCTTAGAACTAGCTTGAATATACCACTTCATACAGTTAGGTAGCTGGTAACAGAAGAAAACAAGAAATGGAAGCACAAGTGAGCCAACAAGAAGAATCCAGGCACACAACATAAGGAGTATCTAGGAGAGGAACAGAAAGAAAGAAATGAAAATACAGCAGGTTGCTGTAAATACTAGCAAAAACACAATCTAGAAGAAGTGCCTTGAGGCAATCCACACGTCTAGCAAATTGTTGTAAGTGCTTAATGCACATTTCTCCAAAACTAGTCTACTAGTAGGTTTCCATAAAGACTATTTGATTCTATCTTTTTTTTTTTTTTTGGAGAGGTTTTTGCTATAGGGCACAT